GAGTTGATTGGATCCCTTTTATATCCAGAGGGGCATGCCCGGGGCATAGAGAGGCATGCCCTTCACAAAGGCATGCCTCCTGAGGCATGCCCCAAAAATTTGCCGTGCCCCCAACCCTAGTCATGTGTCACGGGATTTGAATAATTTTGATTGTTTGTCGTAAGGGTCGAACAATGGTAATTATGACGACAGTTGACCAAAGTTTATTTTATTTCTGTATTTAAAAGGGATCTGATTTCTAATCGAATATTTCTTTCTATTTTACTCAAATCGATAATATGAATACGACGAAATCACGGGGCCAAGAAAATTACGAAGAAAATTTTATTATGAATGATCCTTATGTGGACGGAAATATTTATTCAGTGAACAACTTCTACTATAAGGACTTCGAAGTTAAGAACTCATACGAATTGGATTTTATTACGGCAAAAGATAGGTCTTTAAATACTTTTTGACCTTTATTGCGCATAGGAATGGTTTAATAAATGCCTACTATTCTAATATGTTCTTAGATTCTATTTCACTTAATTTAGAATAGAAAGGATGATATGGCACATAATCGTACCCGGCTTAGACGATTAGATTAGGTGCAAATAATCTTGTGGCAAATTGTCTCGCGGCGATTTTCCGCAAGGCAAACTGCCTTACGTATGAAATTCCTATTTATTAGCTGCCCGATACGGAAGTATCGGAACAGCTTTTTGTCACGGGTGCTGGTAATTGATCGTTATCGAGAGTTGTCGTATGACTTTGTTCGTTGGTTACGTCACAGAGGTTTATCGTATGATCTCGTTTTGATGCATTGTTGAGATTCATTGATTGATGTGTATGTGATTGATGACGTTATGACGTGGTATTTGAGATTAGTAAGCGTTAGTAGTATTTAGGGGGAACGGGTTTTTTCCCACGAAAGGTATCTTTTGTTTTTTCTGCTAACCCGACTTTGTCTGGTTTTTTCGCCCCGCCCTACCCGACCCTCGAACGCGATCGTACGGCAACTTGGGGCCTATTTGAGGACCCATCGGGTCGTCGTTTACTGTTTTTCTGCTGACTTTGATTAGCTTTTCGGTTTGTCGGACGACAGCCGTGTATCTGTTTTAGGAGTGGCCTGTCGGGACGACAGTCACATTGAAGTTCGTTGTTAGTTTTGTTGTTAGTTGTGTGGTCTGTCGGGACGACAGTCACAGATAATTCTTCTTGTTTTTGCGTATATTGAAGCGGCCTGTCTAGACGACAGGCGTGAAGAAATTGCTTATGTGTTTCTACATAGAGGTGGCCTGTCGGGACGACAGCGTTCATGGCACTCGTTTAGTTTTTTAGTTTTAGAGCAATCGTAAGGAATTTAGGGTTTTTTCCAGTTGAAATTAGCTGGTTTTTTTCGCCCCGCCCCTTACGATGTGCAATAGTCCTGAAAAGCCGTCAGTTTAGGGCAGATTCTTTCGATACTTTCGAGTTCTGCACTGTTGCTAGTTGAGCCCGTATATCACGTGAGCGGAAGGGACAGATAACCCATAGCTGTTTTCCATTTTGTTTTTCTTCTGTTTTTTTCTCTTGTTTGTCTCTTGTTTTCACTCTGTTTTCATCTTGTAACACCCTCCCGATGAGGGACAAATTAGTAATGCATACTGTCCTAACCTTGTAACAACAAAGAAAAATAATGATAACGATTGTCAAAAATAGAATGAAGAAATAATTTTTTTTTTTTTCGATCACGGCCACCCAGGCCCCTTTACAATGTACATAATTTATCGAAGAGCATTAATGTAATGGTCGAAATTACCCAGTGTAACATAAGTTAGAGTTTCAATTTTTTTTTCTCTTTCCATTTTAATTATTTTATATTATTGAATAAATGGAGGAAAATTAATCAAGTCGATAGTATCAATAATCCCGTGACCTTAATTAGAGCTTCGTGATGTAATATAGAACTCTAATCTAACACCCTAATTACCCGGATCAAGTATTCCACGCTTCTTTCGAGGCAGGGCACAAAATTTCCGGCCATTTTAAACCTACGCCGAAAGTCAACTTAACTAAATGGAACCTCCGGTATTTTACAATAGAATTTTGTGCCCTGTTTCGAAGCCTTCACTATTAGAGGTTTAGATTAGAGTTTAGTGTAGTGCTAGTTGTTAGTTATCGTTAGATTGACCCGGAGTTACCGTATTTTTTGATCTGATGCAACCCGTCCTTCACTATATATTATATTAATTTAATATGCTGAGTGCCGACAAGCGAAAACAGGGAATTGTGAGTTTTCCGAAATTAATTTTACAGACCAAACCGAAAAATATAATTTAACACACCATATAATTTATATTGTATTTAATTTAAATTTATCAGGAGTCGGATCAGAAAGTGGAGCCGGCAAAAATCAAAATTCCTGGTTTTCGCTTGTCGGCACTCAAATGTTAAAATTAATGTTTTAAGTTCTGTATATAAATTATAAGATACCGATAATTTTGCCCCTGCATTGATTCTGATTAATAGCACATATATCAGATATATGATCCGGATAATTTATCGGATTATCCAGTTATCCATCCATTTTATCCATTTTATCCACTTATTATCGGATAACGGATATCCAATGGATAAATGGATAAACGGATTATGGATTGAAACTCTATTCTTTTTGAATTATCAACATTGAAAGATTCATCATTGATTGTTCCAATTCTTTGATCACTTCCTGAAAACGTTGAATTATGAATATTAATCGATGGTCCACTACTCGTTTTATTCGCTCTACGTTCCGCTTCCCAGTTCTTGGCAATTTGATGGTCTGGCCGAGTATCCTAGTAAAGAAGAATCAAAAAGTTTAACATTCTCAACTAACATGTTCTTTATTCCTCATCTAGTTTTTCAATCCCATCAGGCCGACTTAAAGACTTGAACATCAGACGAACTTAAAGATCGCCTGTGCCCCAATGGGACCAACGCCGGGTCGACTTAAAGACTTGAACATCAGACAAACTTAAAGATTGCCTGTGCCCCAACACTGGTTTATTGGCTCGACTTAAAGACTTGAATGACAAGGAAACTTAAAGATTCCAAGCACGCCACTTAAACTAAATATCTGACCAAACTTTACTTACCTTCTTATATTTGTCATAAAGAAGCTGTGCCTTTTGTTTCCTATTCCCTTGCTCGTTATTCATAATGTTCTCTAAGCTTTTTAGATATAAGCCTATCTTCAACTGGTACGACTTCTCCGTGCATTCCTTCAAAAACCTTGTAATATTCCAATCGGCGGACTTGCTATCAAAATACTCGTGAATATATATACTCTCACCAGACATTTTTTTTATATTGCATTTTATATTGCGGAGGTCAAGTTACAAAAATTTCGAATAGGTATATCTGACGATTTGGATTCAGGTGTCCCAAGTAGGGTGTCTGGCACGCCAAAAAAATTTGGCATGCCACAGGGCATGCCTTTTCTTAAAATTTGTGCCATGGCATGCCATAAAATGTTATATATTATTTCTGTATTTATAATACTATATACGTATATGGTCTGAATATTATAAATATAATTTTTATACTGTACTTAGTGGCATGCCAGTGCATGCCACCATTGGTATGCCTTTGCCACTATGCCAGACACCCTACTTGGACTATATATATAGGTAGAAGAATTAGCCAATCAGAATGAAAGTCTGCTATACTACCGGTAGTAATAGCTACCGGTAGCTACCACCTACCGGTATATACTAGTAGGAAAATAGTGATTTGGGAAAATTCATATCACTAACTGCATCACTACAATGACTGAATCAACAAGTTACCGAGTCAAAAATCAATAAGTTACTGAATTAGGCCGACATTGAAAATTATAGATATGGTCATCGACATTTTTTTTTAGCCAATGAGATCATTCTATAGGCTATGAACTGGTTCAGACCAGTCCAGACCATGGTCCGTAACATTCCTAGTCAAGATGTTAGCGAAGTCAGCATGATTCCACAGGGAGCAAACGAATCTAGGCCTATAGAGCCCTCTATCTTCCTCCATCTAACGCATGACCCTACATTGGGCGATTCCCTGGCCGGAGCCCAGTCATCAAGGCTTACTCCAGCAACATGATTTACGATTGTAGTAAATCAATATGCAATACCCAGCGATTGTTTATCTTTAAATTATTCATGACACTAAGGAAGAAGATTTTACCAGTAGTAATCGTGTCTTCTGTAAGCACCAGTGTTGGCAAAATATGAACATGGACAATATAGACCATTGGACATGGACTATGTTCATAATTTTCTATTAGATATAAGGCACTTAGTCCAATCAAACATGTGGGCTTGCTACTCTGAAATATTCCAGAAGAATAAGCCAAAATTAGGGTAAAAGTCTGAAATATCCCGATAAATTCGGTAAAAAGAAGACATGGACATGGACACTATTTGGACTAGCCCATGCCAAATCCAAATAAATTTTTATTGGACATAGTCCAAGTGCCAACACTGGTAGGCACAATATATACAGCTGACGCATCAGAGATTTTCATAGGATGACATTCGTCTAATTGGTTAATTTTTGTAGATCTACCGCATGTTCGGAATACGTGACAGGTTGATCGACAAAATTAAGAAAAAATTTTTTTATTTCAAAATTTTGCCTCCAACTTTTTCCAATCTAACTCTAACATTTAAAATCCGTTTAATATAGGCAGATGTTGATCAATTAACGTAACCTGTCACATATTTCGGTCTTGCCCATGATTTCCCGTGATAATTAGCCAATCAAAATGCATAATTTTTAAGAAAATCTATCGTTTAATACTACCAGAAAAATGCGTAGCATTATAGATCTGAAGCATATATGATGATTATCTTAATATACAACGCGTGAGCCTATTTGATATTTTGTTGCACTAAATTAACAAATTTGAACACGCGTGCGGACAAAAATTTCAAAATTACGATTTTGACGTGATCTCCATAAAGTTTATGCAGATACATAAAAAAAGTAGGTAACCTTTTTGGTCGAAGTGTATCAAAAACGTAATGTTTGTATCCTTTACATAAAAAAAAGCTTACGAACTAACAAATGACACACAAAAAGAATTTGTTACATTTTAAAAATGAATGGATAACGCGTAAATTGATCAAAAATTCAATATGTGAAAAAATTATTAATGAAGGTATCTTTTAGTCTTTATTTATTAAGTTACATTTTTGAAGTAATTAAAAATTATTCTAATCTATTTTTTTATCACTATCTTTATTAGACGCGATATGACCTTAGCCTATATAATTAATGAAACGATAACACTTATACGTTGATCTACTACTTAACCCAAAGTCATATTTACTAATCCAGTAATATGATTCTATAATATTATTCAAGTATACAATAAGTATTAGTACAAGCCTATTGTTATATTAAACAGTGTACTCAAAGCTCTTTAAATTTAAATATTACACGTAACGTTCAATTTTTTTTTTATGTCCGTTTTTGGTATTTAAAAAATGTGAAGTTCTTGGAGAGCTACTGTAGAATTTGCTTTTACAGTTTACGTCAATCAGATGAATGTCGTATTTATTACGATCACGCGAAATTGGTCATGTCACGTGATATGAGAATGACTTTTTTTAACCAATAAAATAACAAATTAAATTACGAGAGTAATTTCGAACTTAGTTGTAAACAATGTTAGAAAAAGAAAATCCTATAGTATTTTTTGATATATCCATTGGGGGCCAGCCGGCCGGTAGAATGAAAATGGAATTATTTGCTGATGTAGTTCCTAAAACCGCTGAAAATTTTAGGTATTATTTTCGTTTTTTTGGTTCATGCTTTGTATAAATTAAATATATACTTTTCGTTATTTTTCACTATTTTTCACTATTTCATTTAGACAGTTGTGCACGGGAGAATACAAGTAAGTTGACCTTCTTTATTTATGAATTAGAGTTTTAAAATTTATACTGATCTAACGGTCAATACAGAAAAAATGGTGTACCGCAAGGTTATAAATCTGCAACTTTCCATAGGTAGGCGTCGATGATAGATCTTTATAACGAACAATTTATATATTAATTAAAAAAAATATTCGTGATTATATAGAGTAATTAAAGATTTTATGGTCCAAGGTGGCGATTTTGTGAAGGTAAAAAAGACAAATGCTTTTAACGGAAAATTGGCAGAGTTCTATTAACAAGATCTTACAAATTAAATAATAGGCTGATGGGACTGGTTCATTTAGTATCTATGGAGAGAAATTTTCTGATGAAAATTTTGAACTTAAGCACAATGGGCCTGGTCTTCTCTCAATGGTTAGTTAAATTATTTTAATAGGCAAATTCAATTATATATTACATTCACTTAAATTGCTTTCTTAGGCAAATAGCGGACCTAATACCAATGGATGTCAGGTATATAATTTGCTATTTTTATATATTATTATTATTATTATTATTTTATTATTACTATTATTTTGTATTAACAATCTTTTGCCAAAAAAAAAAAAAAAAAAAACTATTATATCTTCTAAGTTTTTCATAACATGCGCTAAGTGTGATTTTTTGGATGGAAAACATGTCGTTTTTGGGAAGCTCATTGATGGTTTGCTAACACTGAGGAAAATAGAAAATGTTTCGACTGGACCTGGGAATCGACCGAAACTGCCTGTAGTCATAACAGAATGTGGTCAATATTAATTATTAAAGATTTTTTTTAAAAAAAAACAATTAATGAATTATCGTTGTAAGTCTATATCAATGGGATGAATTATCGTTGTAAGTCTATATCAATGGGGTTATGCACTAACAGTTGTGACTCTGGGCACTTATAGATAAGCAAATTAAGACAATTCTAATGGCTACATTGCTTTACTTACTAGTCTAGCAAAGAAAGTTTTCGTAATTCATGCGTAATTACTAATCATTCGTTATAATGTCAATGTATCTATCTGCTAAAATAAATTATTTTTCATCAAGTATACAATGATCCATTAATTAATGGTTGCATTGCTACGTAACAGTGTATTGTACAGTCATACCTGAGTTGTATCACCCCATTTTTCCAGAGCATTTTGGGGATATGGTAGAGATAAAATTATAAACCTTATAAAATTATATTCTGCTAAAAAATGGGGATACTGATATAACTTAATGGGGATATAAGACAATAACTTTACGTTCAAATGACCTGCATAGCACTCATTAAATTTTACCCTAATTCAACTTGCAGATATATCGATAGATTACATATAAGCGCGAAATAACGCCTATGGGCGCTATTTTGAATAATGACGTGAATTAAGCTTAATCTAGGCCAAAATTCGAAATTACACCCCTAGGCGTTATTTCGGTTAGCTATCGTTAGGCTAGGTTAGCTTGCCATCCTTGCGCCATACCGAAATTGGCATTCCAGAGTGCGTTCACAATATCAAGACGAATTATTGCTTTTAAACTTTATTTTTTTTGTCTTTAAACGCGCCAATAAAAATCAGCATTATGTCGGGAACAGGTTGTTTGTTAAGGTGAAACCGGAACATTTAATTTATTACGCCATATTGGTATTTCCTATTTAGAATATGATCTTGGCTTATTACGAAGGTTTTTGTTTTGTCTGCACAGGTTTTTCTAAAATATCAAGCTGACTAGTACCTTAGCTTGTTTGCACTGATTTGATGAAAGCGCCTAAAAGGCTTTTAGCTTTTACTGGTTTTTTTTGGCGAATAAATTTAACTATTTTTTCGGCTTGCTTTGAAAATATCCACGATAAGCAACATAGTATCTGACTATTTTATTTACTGTTTTTCCAATTCTTAACGTTAAGAGATAATCTAGTAATCAGATTCGATCAATTTTTATACTATATACCGTATTTTCGCATGTTAACGCCCATGGGCGTTACTTCGAAAATCTTATAAGATTGCAATGGCTTCGAAATGACGCCTATGCGCTTTTCGAAATAACACGCATGTTAGGATCAATATAAACTAGCCAAAATGTCTTCCTATGGCGATCAGCCTTTAATTCACGTCATATATACTCAATAATGCACAGATGGGCGAAAATACGGTATTTTAATTTCCTTATTTCCTTTGATAATTGTAAAAATCTGCTACTAAATCATGAATTGCAATGCTTTATTATAATACTTAATTCTTATTATAATATATATATATATATATATATACATATATATATACTGTATATATATTTAATATTAATATATATATACTTTTTATTTACAGTATATACTAACAATTGGATTTAAGCAATTTGTTAATTAGCATAAGCCAGTTACTGTACGATTTTCCGAAGGCAATTCTTCTGAAAGAACATAATACCGGCTAAATCGGTTGGCATTATAGCTAATGCCTACTAATTTATCGGCATTATTTCCTTTAGGGAAAATAGCTATCGAGAACTTGTTATATTGCATAAACCAGAGTTAGTAATGACCAAGTTACAATATTTACTTATTTCTTAAATGACTTCAAATGACCCCAAAGGAATCCGATCAACTCACAGACAATCACTTCGAAGACACTATATTTCACCGAACACATTTTATCGACAAACTTATTTTACAGACGATTAATTTATCGACAAGTTCATTTCGTAGACAGTATATTTCACTAACAGCTCATTTCACAGACGAAGTAATTCTAATCATCGTCGTTAGGGTAGGTTTAGATTTAGAGTGCGGTCTATAAAAAAACTGCAAAATAAGCTGTAGATGAAATATACTGTCTACGAAATTAACTTGTCGGTAAGTTTTGTCGGTGAAATGAGTGTCGATGAAATGTGGTGTCTTTGAAGTGATTGTCGGTGAAATAATACGGATCCCCAGAGTTTGACCTGGGTCGTTATTTTTGACCCGAGTAAGAACCCTACACCAAAGTTTTGAGAAGGCGAAGTTTTAGAACAACGGGTAAGGACATATTAATATTTATTTAGCTATTGTAATCATGATGATTTGTGTCCACTGGTTGCATATGTGGAAGCATATTGGTAATAGATAGTCTGGTGAAGATAGTAGTTGGATGCTGTTACTGTGTGCTATCAACAATTGCGATCAGATTACTATCTATAATATGATGAATAAATCTATCAATATCTGAACCCGTGCGGGTGTTTTAATATCATCAATTTATATGAATTCGGACAACACATTTTTTAAATTTGGCTTAGGTAATGACTACCGTTGAAGATATGGCCTCACTTTTAGAGTTGAATGCTTTAGTATGTATAATTAACAGATTTTTCATATCGGTTTGGTTTATAAAATTAAGCTAATGCTACATAAATGCTGCAAAATGTGAATACAGAATTTTGGATCGATCATGCAGAAGAAAATTTAAATATGTTAAAGAGGAATGTAGTTCATGTAAGTTTATTTTTTTTATGATGCTATATTTTTTGTCTATTTTACTAACAAAAGTTTTAGCCGTAGCATATACAGAGTTGGAGGACAAGAAACTTCTATGGAAAAGACTAAAGAATGACTTAAAGAATGTTGATTTGAATCAACTGCCATATAATTACCCACTTTGCTCTGGTATATTAGATATCGAGTCATCACCTATCTCTGATCTACCAAAAACTCTTTGCAATGTTTTTGAAGAAAAACAAAAAAAAAATTTGTATGGATTACAATGAAATGTTATTGCAAATTTGTGAAGAGTATATTCAAGAGCTAAGTATTAGAGTAGAGAAACCACTATTGAAAACTTGTGATTTCTATTTGGCCAATAGATAGAAAATCCTAAAAAGTTAAAAAGTATAATGAAATAATTATTGGAAACATTGTAAGTTTATTAATACTGTCGCTATATTACTTGACTAATAATATAATAAAAATAATATAATTTTTAAATACCAGGTTTGGATTTTGCTAATACAGTATAAGTTATATGTTTTAAATTAGATAAAAAGTTATATAGTCTATTTGTGAAGTTTTTGTACTATTATTTAGCATTGTTTTAAATAGTTTATCAGTAAAAGATAAGATATTAAAATGTGTAGCATATTATATATATATAGTACTAACTACAATATTTTTTTGCTATAATATTTTAATAAAAAAAATTTCATATATAAAATTTTATAAAATTTATATAAATTTTTTTTTAAAACTCACTCGGTTATTAAAACATATAAATTTTTTTTTCAAATTTTGACTTGGCCAAGTTATGAAAACCAATTAATTAATTTTGTATGGCCTAATACTATATAGGGTATATTTATCCCTTAATTAGTAAAGATTTGCAGGCAAATTTGGCTGCATAATTACTATAAATATGCCTCTGATCTACTTTTTTAATTATTTAAAATATTTAAATAAAATTTAATATGATAATATTTAAAAATAAGGATTATATTTTTGTAGTATTTGTATTTATATTATAAGACAAAATTTTAAGACTACTTATAAGCTAAAAA